CGCCGGCCACGGGACGCCCCTGCCTGGAGTTCAGCTTCAACCATAAAGAGATTGTGGATCTCTAGCAAAGGTTAGCTACACTTATTTATCACAAGAGATACATACGGCAGTCCTTCTCGTCTGATCCGTTCTCACAGTCCTCCTGACGATCGCACTTCCATGACAGGGGGATGCATCGATTCGTCCACTCGCCGCAGCTGAACTGTTGGGGGCTGCAAGTTACAGTTCCTGAGAAGAGATCCACAGAGTATAAGAAGTTGCAATTAAGACAAAAAAGACCGCTTCCTCTATTACCCCCATCCCACCCTCCACCATACTGTCCCAGAACTTACGACATGTCTCAGAGAACTCATCAGATCCGTCCCTGCACTCCTCACTGCCATCACAGACCCACTTGTAGGGAATGCATTTGCCATCTCCGCACTGGAACTCATTTCTGCCACATGTGGAAACCCCTAAAATAGAAAAAAAAATGATCAATGAAGATCTAGTAATGAACGTTTTAATGCCAGGTGAAAACTTGCCCCTCCCTTTTACATTGTAAGCCCTCAGGTGCAGGGCTCTCTTTACCATCTTGTCTTTATTGTAATGTCTTCCTTTTATTGTAAAGCACTGCGCAAACTGTTGGCGCTATATAAATCCTGAATAATAATAATAATGGATTTTAACAGATTCTACAAGATGCTGTTACTGTAATTATTGCCCAGTCATCAAACTCTACTCAACTCCACCACAAAGGCTTTCTCTATAATGCAAAAAGAATTTTAAAAAAGGACATAAAACAGTGATTAAACCTGTCGCCATCTACGCAAAGCACTCATATTATAATATTAAAACGGTAAAAATGTAAACCACTTCTGGCTTGACAAAGAGGTCCTGAACCTCGAAACGCGTAGCCAAATTACCAGACTGACATTCCAATCACCCAGCGAGATAGAACGCACTGGTTTTCAGTCCCGTGCCTGCCTCCCAAAACGATCAGTCACAACGACTGCTGACAGTCTTTCAAACCGCTACAGAGCGGCACTCTCGCTCCCGCTCAGCCGTCGGATCTCAGCCTGGCCAGCTGACCTCCCACGGTGTTGTACGGTACAAACATCCTCAGAGCACAACTTGTGTACAAACAAGGCTACAGGACGACAGATTTCTTGCGCTCCAGTCACAGGAGCCTCCTAGCCGTCACCACCATCTCTCCTCCATCACCAGGGGACCAAATTAGACACCTCCAAACCCATACCCCCCACCAGCAGGACATTACTACATCTAGCCAACAGCACAAGAATCACCAGTGTAAATTCATGCACTGCCTAATCGACGATTTGGCCCGTTCACTGCATCCACATCGATCGGCCCGAGACACTGCTGAGTGATCCACACAGCCTTTTCTCCTGATCCACAAGACCTCATCTTGTCTACCTAAACAGTGAGTTTTCAGTCCAGTATTGATTTTAAAGTTAAAGTTGATTTTATAGTTGTTATTTATACTATCCCCACAACATCCCAGGGTTGCAGCGCTTCTTTCCACCCTCCTTTTTACATATTATAATATTAGTCCACCTTATATTTAATATCAGTTTAACATGGGATGATCCTTTAAATGTTTTTCTTTCTTTTCTTGTGGCTGTGGCTTGTCAATCCCGATCTACAGCAAATTCACCTACAAGGAAGTTAAAAAGCTAATCCACCAGGCCAAGCAAGGTGAAAAAAAACAGCACATACCTAAAGAAGCAGAAATGCAAATACCAGGAAGTCGGTGGCGCTGTAAATCATAGGTAGGACCTGTTCTTGATTACAAGGGGAAGTCCAAGGCTTCGAGGACCTGCCCTAGAAAACATTCACTCCCGGAAAGGTATAGTAACCAAGAACACAAAAAAATGTTTGAACATGTGTTCAAGTGAGCCTGTACTGGGAGATAAAAACGTGGACCACCAATGCTGTCCCCTTTCTAAAAATGCTAGTTTCCTGTCCGTTATGCTGACCCTCGGGCTTCGATAGCTCATGAATCACTGACCCGGAACAAGTATGTGTGTCTGTAAAGTCAGAGAAGATTCCGAAGTCCTTATCCACATACCTGTTCCAGGACTTGTACCCCTGCATATTCTGATTTTTGCTTTAAATCCCCTTTTTCTCTTAGGGAAAATGATGATTTCTGTTCGCACACTGCGGTGGAGCTGAGTGACAGCCACACACCCATCAGCACAAGTGTCCTCATACAGACTTGCATTGCTTACCCTGTTTCCCCGAAAATAAGACCTACCCCGAAAATAAGACCTAGTACTATTTTTGGGAATTGCTAAAATATAAGACCTACCCCGAAAATAAGACCTAGCTGTGACCATTCCCAGGGCCGGTGGTGGCAGGCAGAAGGAGCAACTTGAAGAGCCACGAGAGAGGAAGGAGAGAATCAGCAGTGCCAAAAAGCCAGCGTTAGAGGAAGTGAGGCCTCTATAGCGCCGACTCCTTTCACAGGCGGAGTGATACCAAATGCACTCTGCCTGTGAGGAATCCATAGTAAAAGCGCGTTTCGGTCATTCGGGCCAGCAATTGGTTACCAAATTGCTCTTGGAAAGGTACGGCACCCCCGATTGCCCTGATCACCCTATTCTTAACTTTGCCATTTTGGATTATTTAATTTGGATTTGCATTAACTTTGGAATGTTATATATTAAAAAATAAATAAAAATAAGACCTACCCCGAAAATAAGACCTAGTGTGTTTTTTTGAGCCAAAAAAAATATAAGACAGTGTCTTATTTTCGGGGAAACACGGTAGAAGGGAAGGGAGCGTAAGTAACTAGGTCTGCATGAGTTATTGAGATCACTGGGTCTAACTTTGGGGCCTATTAGTCATATTTAAAATCCCTTCACAGCTGTTGTGACAGGAAAGTGGAGGCTGTTAGTAGCATGCTTATTTGGTGGCATATCTATTTCTTTTACTTTAAGTGGGGTTTAGTGTATTGACGCAAGAGGTTCAGCATGACAACAAGGCATCTGCAAAGTTAGCAATGATCATCTAGTAAAAGCTTTCCTATAAATTAAAGAGTATATAGTTTGGGATCCCGTCAAAGAGGTAAATAATAATGAATCTGCATCTGAAGGTCTCTATTTTAGACTCCTTTAAAACCTAAGCACTTAAACCAGTAACCTACGCTCACTAAATAGACACGTCTGACATTCAGCAGGTCGATGAAATATATGTCAGGACGTCGAGTGTAGATTATATTTCCTGAACATGAAACTGCCTTCGGGATGTAGTTCTGTCTCATTCCTGTACAGTTTCTATACAGAAAGGGCAGGTGTAGTCTACCGTAGCATATACATATTGTACCGTCTATCGTAACATATACATATTGTACCGTCTATCTAATATATACATATTTTTTTTCAGGCATGCTTCCTGAATGTGACACTCACCATATTTATCAAACTATGGCACTCTACACCGATATCCCCAACTATAAATTACAAGGTGTAGAGTAGATAAAAGATAAAGAATGAATTCTGTTGATTACTCAACCGCCTCAGATTACTGACCAGCAAAACTGCTTAACTGCTTAAATTTTTTAATTTAAGCGCAAAACTTTTGAGAAATGCTCAATAATATACACTATAAGGCCAAAAATATGTGGACACCCCTACAAATACTTAGATGTCTTCAGGGAAGAGTACTGTTAATGCTACAGCATACAGGGGGCATATTAGACAATGGAGGGCTTCCAACCTTGTAGGAACTTTGGTGAAGGCCCTTTTCTGTTCCAGCAGGACTGGATCCTTGTGTACAAAGACAGCTCCATAAAGACATGGTTTGAGGAGTTTGGTGTGGAGGAACTCAAGCGTTGTACAGAGAGCTCTGACCTCAACCAACACCTTTCTGATGCATTTGAACACCAATTACGACTCAGGTCGTCTGGTTTAGCATCAGTACCTGGCCTTGTTGGCTAAACCAAAGGACACCAATTCCCAGAGACACACCACAACCTAAATTATGTGAAAAGCCTAAATTATGTGAAAAGCCTTCCTGGAAGAGTAGAGACCTCTCCAAAAGGTAGAAGGGAACAAACCCCATATTAATGCCTATGCTTTTGGAATGGGATGTCCAAGAAGCTCATATAGGTGTGATGGACAGGTCAATTACGTCTGGCCATAAAGTGTATTTAGGAAATGCCATCACATTTACATAATATTTCCATTCAATAGATTTTTATTGGTTTTAACAAGAAAATGCAATATGATAGGACAATGTCGGTATCCAAGGTGGAGAAAAAAAACCTGTGTCCTTCAATGAACGGAGGAGAAATACAAATACTCCATCTAGAAGAATAATGTGATGTCCCTTGTGGAGACAGAGATGTCTCTTCAAGAGTGGTCACATGAGAAACAATAAGAAACGGGACCCTGTAGTAAATATATAATGTTTTATGCATTGGAAAGAGAGAGAATACAAAGACTTACATTGTGAAGGTTTCCAGTGACCATAGACGAACGGTTACTGTAACCCGGAATGTGCGCTTGTGGAGAATACGTCTGTCTCCAGCAAGGAAATATTTGAACAGTAGGAATTTGGTAATGGCGCAATGTATCAGAAGATGACAAACATCAGCCAGAGGAAAATGTACTAAACTTCACTGGTGTCAGGTGCTGGTCCTACAGACCATAAAGCAAGGCTGGACAAATCTCAGAAGCAAAGTGGACAATGTTCCCGAAAAATCACAGCTGACGCCTAACTTTTTTAGTTTTCTTTAGTTGTTGGATTGGATTTAGCTCCTAAAAAAATCCTACTGGCCCTTGGATTGCATAGACTGGCTACTAAATTGTCCACCCCGGGCCTGGAGAGCCTGATGGGAGTAGGCGAGGGTTGCAGCTCAGGCTGCCTCTAAAGCACGATACAAGCAAGTGGACACAGAGAAGCAACAGAGGGAATAGAAGAAAAAGGGAAAGAGTTTTATTCTTTTTAAAAGGACTGAAGTTCGGGAAACACCATGTCTATTTTAGAGGCATGGCGTAGATATCACATACCGACATAAAGTCAGCCTGGTCTCTCAAACACAGCAGCATTTTCATGTGCAAATGAGATAGAAATTTGAGATGTTCAGTATGTGCCAGCTATTCCTTGACGCAGAAAAGAACCAGCTATCCCCAACTACTACTTCTAGTGTTCCGGCTTCATCGGCCCAGTGGGACAAGTTGGTAGCTTCATCTGAACATGCAGGAAAAAGGAAACTTAATAATGAATGAGTGACAGGACAGCTGTATCTAGCGAATGCTTTGCTATCTCACCAGAAGCATCCTCTTTAGGCTCCCATGGGTGTGGTCACAGCTTTCAAGGCTTTTAAATTTCAAAAACAAAATGGCCTACGTCACAGCACACAAGACCAAAGCAAGCCACACTGACACTGATAAAATCACCAGCTTTTTTTTACCATCAAGTTGATCTGTCAGCTCATTTAACTCAACCA